AATTTACTACGATTTCCCGAAACGATCTCAATCACACGATTCAAATCAGACTTATGCATACAGAAAGAGAGAGAGTTTGATTAACCTCTCACTTACTGCCTTGGTAACTGAATTTTGATTTTGATTACATGAATTGGTCATCTAATTCAGTGATCTCAACTCACTGAACAAATCTCAATTTTATAAACTGTAACCGCTTTTGTTTTTTATTTAAGTTGAATTTGAGATTTTCCCGCCGATTGACTGAACCGAAGTGCTCGGTTGCACAAGAGGTGTCTCTCGTGGCCCTTCTTTACGTGCATCAGTTCCTGTTTTAGATTTTCTTTGATACTGCTAAGGCAGGAATAAAAATCTGCCAGCATTCAAATCACCCACAAACTCAATTAGAAACATGCTGTGTCGGTTAAAGGATCAATCCTGTGGGGCCTTTAAAACAAAACAATTTAGTTTATCTAATACCCTGTCTGCAATGATTGTTAGGTCAAATACATAGGTCAAAGTAGTAGAACAGGAGCAGTCAGTCAGACTAGCCGAACATAAAATCTAGCGAAATCTAGATTGGTTGACCCAAATTGTTTACAATTTACGGTTTACAATTTATTTAGGATAGTAGGCTATATGCCTGTGTTAATCCTTTCGATTTGTTACACACAGGAGGTCCAATCTCGCCTTGAATGAATCAACGGATGGCTCTGATACGACGTGTTCCGGTAGGGAATTCCAATGGTTCACAATTCGATGCGGAAAACGGATCTCCAAACGCAGACGATTCGACCGTGGTTTTTGAACCTTGAGGTGATGTCCTCGCAATTGATTGGTGCTAGAAGGAAGAAATAAATTAGATAAATTTGCTCCAAAATCATTTCTTAGGATACGGTATGCTAGTATTAGGTCACCCCTAAGTCGTCTGTATGACAGTGGAAATAAACCCAGTCGACTTAACCTCTCTTCATATGAGAGGGTTGAGAAACCCTTTATTAGCTTAGTTCCTACTTTTTGCACCCTTTCTAGTAAGTCTATTTCGTATTTGAAACACGGGCTCGCTGCCTGGATCCCATATTCCAAATGAGGTCTGATATAAGTCGGATATAATATACGAAATATTTCAGCGTCTAAGTTCGCAAAAGCCTTGCGTATGGCCCATAATATTCGAAAACCCTTAGTGGCTGCAGCTCTACAGTTTGTTGCTGTTTTCAAGTCATGCTGCACAACCACTCCCAAGTCCTTGTACTCAGTGACCACTGGGAGAGTAATGCCATTCATTGAGTAATTGTACACGTGACTATGAGATACATGCATAACGACACTCTTGCTTAAGTTAATCTCCAAGGCCCAGTGCTTACACCAATCACTTAACAAGTTTAAATCTCCCTGCAAAGCAAGTTGATCACTGTCATCGTGTAAAGCCCTCCATATCTTGATGTCATCAGCGAACAGTAAGCAGGATGACTTAACTACCGGTGGAATCTCATTAACATAAATCAGGAAAAGAAGTGGGCCTAGAATTGTACCCTGAGGAACGCCACTCTTAACCGATTCCCATGTTGATAAAACCCCGTTAACTCGTACTCTTTGTCTTCTATCCTTTAGAAAGTCTTGAATCCAGTCGGCAACCACTTTACTGATTCCCATACTACCTAACTTTACTAGAAGACCTGAATGAGAAACCCTGTCAAACGCCTTGCTAAGGTCGATGAATATGGCATCCACCGGTATATTAGCATCAGCTGAGCTTGCCCAACTTTCTCTGGCCAAAAGAAGGTTGGTCAAGCAAGAATGACCTGCTCTAAAACCATGCTGTTCCACAGCGAAAAGTTTGTTCCCTTCAATGAACTGAATGATAGCATCACGAATTATTCTTTCTAGTAGTTTAACAACAATACTGGTCAAACTAACAGGACGATAGTTATGAACCTAAGTTTCTAGATCCGGTTTTGAAGACCGGACTAATGATGGCATCTTTCCAGTCTCTTGGACGTTTAGACTGATCCAGAGACATATTGAAGATTACTGACAATGGCTCGGCCATGTTTTCAGCCAATGCTGTTAATATACGTGGGTGGAGTTCATCAGGACAACTGGATTTACCAGGATTGAGACTTAGATGCCACTTTAGGACAGTATCCTTTCCAATGTATGAGGGTGCCATTTTCAAGTTGCCTTCTGGAAAAGTTACAAAGCTGGTATCAATATTATCAGAGAATACTTGACTAAAGTGCTTGGACAAAGCCGCAGCCTTAGTCAAGTAACCCTCAGGCATGTTTGTCTGGTCATCTTCAAGCATAAGAGGTGGTGTGAAGACGACAAGACTGAGGAGACTGAAAGCATTGTTTATACGGTGAAACGTATGGTACATAGCTAAATTTGGAATACCATATTCTAAACCGGCCATTTGCACATCTTCACCACATCCTTGACGAATTGGTCGAATATCGTCTCATTCGATAGCTTCTTGGATTCTGCATCATATGGCAACATTCTTCTCATGGTTCTCTTCTTTGATTGCTCTTTTCAGTGTGCCAAACATGTTGTTACTTCGTTCCTGATATACTACTTATATCGGATTATAAGTAGCACTCACCACACTCGCCCCCTCATTATAAAGTCTCTCCTGTAACCGCCTTGATCGCCGCACAGACGTTTCTTCCTGCTGCTCTTCTGGTACCTCATCTTGACATTCTTCTCTCCATCTTTGTAGCAGACTGGCGTTTACTCTTTTCTCTTTATCTCCTCTCTTTATTGTGTACACTGGACCGCGTCTCGATGTGACCACATATGGTCCCTCCCACTTCGGCAGAAGCTTTCCTGATCCTGGTCCACTTCCGGTAGTATACTTTCGTTCTCTACATTTCACCTGGTCACCTACTTCAAACAGCTTCCAAGTTTTGATTTGTTTCTTGCCATAATTTTCGATGTCTTTCTTGCGCTTCTCTTGTATATTCTGAATAGCTTGTTTCCGCTCATTTGTCCATCTCTTACTGTTCCATTTTTGTTGTGTTGGCCAAGTCTTATGGTGCACCGGTAAGCGTGGTTTCCTCCCATACATCATCTGGAAAGGCGACTTTTTTGTTGTCCCTTGTACTGTGGCACGATGTGCTAGTAATACCAACGGTAAGTCAGTTTCCCAGTTGCCTCTTTTCGCAGCTAACCATTCCTTGAGTGTACGATTGTTCCTTTCGGTTAAGCCGTTTGTCTGCGGATGATACGGAGTCGCTCTAATCCTCTTAATACCCAGTGCCTCCAGACGAGTCTTGAACTCCTCACTTTCAAAACAGGGGCCTTGATCTGTCAATATCATTTTCGGTACACCATGATCCGCCACAATATGTCGAATGACCGCCTCGGTTACGGTCTTGGCGCGCTGATCTGGAATCGCTACAGCATTTACCCACCGCGTGGCGTGTTCCGTCATCATTAAAATGTATTGATTTCCACTTGCTGTTTGAGGGAAAGGACCCATTATGTCCACGGACCATAAGTCACCAACCGCCGTTACGGGTATCGTTTGTAGCTGCGGTCGAATGCACCGATCACCCTTCATCAATTGACACTGTGGGCAAGCGAGTACGTAGTTTGCAATATCGCCTCTCATGTTTGGCCAGTATGCACTTTGGCTCACTAGGTCGTATGTTCGTGTAACTCCTGTATGGGCTAGTTGGTGGCATTCTTGAATCACCCCACGACGAAGGCTCTTTGGTATCACTGTAACCCAGCTACCATCACTGTCTTTCCAAGTTAGGACGCCGGCAGCGTTTAGTTTGAGTCTATGTTTTTGCTGCAGTAGCATCTTTAACTCTTTATTCTCTGCTGCCATTTCAATTTCTTTCCCTTCACGTATCATCTGCATGACTGTCTTAAGAGTAGGATCCGACTTCTGGTGGCGAACAAGTTGTAAGGGAACTTGCTCCAAAGCGTTTACTGGATACGCTACTTCTGGTAGTTCAGTCTCATTATCTGATCTCGACAAATAGTCAGCTATTACATTTTCTTTTCCTGGAATATGTCCAATCGTGAAGTCATACTCTTGTAGGCGTAACATCCATCGTGATAACTTCCCTCGTGGATCCCGTGCTGTTTTCAACCACTGAAGAGGTTTGTGGTCGGTCTCAATGTGGAATCGGCGGCCGATCAGATATGGTCTCCATTTTTCTAGTGCCCATACGATAGCTAAACACTCCTTTTCCACCGTAGAATACTTCTGTTCTGCAAGTGTCAACACACGGCTAGCGTATTCAACAACCCCATCTGTTTGTCTTAAAACAGCACCTATACCATAATCACTGGCGTCTGTCGAAACTGTGAACTGCTTCCCCGGCGCTGGCAGTTTCAACGTCATCTGTTGACCATCTAACAGCTCTTTAATTCGCTCAAACGTTTGCTGTGCCTCTTCCGTCCACATGAATTTCGCATCACTCAGCAACATATATAGCGGTTTAGCTATCTCATTGAAATTTTTGACAAATCGGCTGTAGAATGCCGCTCTTCCCAAAAACTGTCTCAGCTTTCGCTTTGAATTTGGCACTTCGCTGGTTTTGACCGTCAGGATTTTCTCCGGCAATGGCCGTATTTCACCATTTCCCACTTTGTAACCCAGGAGGACAACCGTGTTTTTAGCTATTTGGGACTTGTGCTTATTAATACGCAGTCCAAAGTCATCAATTCTCTTTAAGATAGCTTCGATGTGGTCTATATGGTCGCTTTCTGTCTCACTATACACCACCAAGTCATCTCCATATACTTCTACGTTCTTCAGACCCTTCAGTAATAAGGTCATTAATCTTCTGAATGTAAATGGGGCACCTACCAATCCAAATGGCATTCGTTTAAACTGGTATTGTTTCTGCCCGACTGTGAAAGCTGTCTTACTTCGATCAATTTCTGCTATTGGGATTTGCCAGTAACCCGATCGTAGGTCGAACACGGTGAATAACTTGGCTTTATGAAGGCGATCAAGAGTTTCTGTTACGGTAGGCATTACACACTGTTTTACTTCGGTGAGGCTATTCAGCTGTCTGAAGTCGACACAAAATCTATATTTCCCGTTAGCTTTCTTCACCAAAAGGATTGGCGAACTGTACGGACTGTCGGCTTCTTCGATTATTCCGTCGTTTAACATTTCTCTGACTTGTCGGTTAACTTCTTCTTCAAGGTGAACGGGAACTCGTCGCGATGAAAAGACTGTCTTCCCCGTATCCTTCAGTGGGATGTTATGCTTTACCTTATCACAATAACCGTATGGGTCTCCATCACTAGTGAATAAACCGGCATATTTACTCATCAACGTGGTTAGACGTGGTGCTTCTTGCTGAACAATGGTTGTGGTTTCCACCTCAGCGACTTCACTATTCTCATGTATCGCGAATTGCCCGTGTTTTGTGACTACTTTTCTATTCTTCATATCGATTACAGCTCCTACTTCTCTGAGAAAGTCTGCTCCCAAAATCGTTCGTCTTATATCAGAAGTTACAATAAACGGATATCGTATTTTTCCTGCTCCAATCTCTACAACGCAGTCTGAAACGCCAAGCATGTGCAACGGATGTCCTCCTACCGTCTGAACTGCTAATGTGCACGGCCTTATTTCCTTACACTGTTCTCTACCTATCAACGAAACTGCCGCCCCTGTGTCGATCAAACAAACTATTTCTTTTTCGTTCACTCGTAATCTCCCGTACACTGAACCTCTTTCGACTAACCCGACCACCTCTAAACGCGAGCGAGAAAAAGAAGGAAGACTGTATCGTTTAAGGTTTTTCTGCCTTCTTTTCGGGCAGTTTCTCTGCCAGTGACCGGTTCCTCCGCAAGCAAAGCACCTGTTGTTTGTTTTTTTCTGCATAGCTGCCACCTGTTGTTTCAACTCTTCAATCTTCTTGGGATCTTGGCCCTCCGACATCACTGGAGCAACATGCGAGGTCATTATCTGCCTTGTCACCTTGGCCATTTCATAGACATCCATTGGCTGAGCTGCGTTAACTAGCTGCAACTGATGAGCGATACCTGTCGGGACGCATTCGAGGAACTGAGATGCCAGCAACTGCTCCCGTGAATCTTCGTCTAGGGTGGGCAACGCGCGTCGCAGGTGATTCGTCAGCGTTACTGCGAGAACCAACGGATCCCCATCCTGGCCAAGTCTCAGCGTCCGGAACTTCTGCAGCGCCTCTTGTCTGTCCGCAGGGCTGTCGAACTCGCACATGAGCCTCTCGACGACCTTGTCCCACGCCGCCTCACCTTCCAGCTCCCGAGCGTTGTCGTACGCAGCCTTCGCGCGGCCCCTCAGCAGCGTTCCCAAGACCACCAGCTTCGCCTTCTGCTCCTGCACTCCAACCAGCTCCGTGACAGCTTCGAAGTCCCTGAGGAACGTCCGCACATCTCCATCCTCGAACACCTGCGGCCACGGCACCTTCATCTCCGACAGAGGCAGCGACACCAAATGTGAAGAAGACAAGACTGAGGAGACTGAAAGCATTGTTTATACGGTGAAACGTATGGTACATAGCTAAATTTGGAATACCATATTCTAAACCGGCCATTTGCACATCTTCACCACATCCTTGACGAATTGGTCGAATATCGTCTCATTCGATAGCTTCTTGGATTCTGCATCATATGGCAACATTCTTCTCATGGTTCTCTTCTTTGATTGCTCTTTTCAGTGTGCCAAACATGTTGTTACTTCGTTCCTGATATACTACTTATATCGGATTATAAGTAGCACTCACCACAGTGGGATAGCATCACTCTCACGTGTTCTTCTCTTGATATATGAGAAGAGTCTTTTTGGGTAGCCTGTTGATAAGATAAGAAATCTAGAGAATAGTTCAACTATAGCACTACATGCAATTACATACAACCATACAATAGGATGGATGGGATAAGATGACAGTTTTAAAATCTAATATAACAGGATGGTGGCAGGGAGAGACTGATAACAGAAGCTTTGTTTATCGAATCATCTTAAAGGGGATACGTGCAATAGGAGTGATTCAACACCTGTCCACCCAGATATCTGGAAAACCCTACTACTCCTACGAGAAATAGGAGAAAACAAAGAAAACTATAAGACTCAAGTTTCGAAATCGTGTGATTATAATTGATGGAATGATTATGAACAATAAATAAATTTTGTTCGAAACGTCAATATCGAGTAAATAATACTGCTGTTTCACTGACTGTGTGATACATCTAATAAACAAACTAATATAGAATTACTTACTACCACCACAGTGTCCAAGTTTTTACCCACATATATTAATATTCCCTTAGTATTTTATTTCACACTTTATTTATTTATTATATTACTGAAATTCAAGAATTTTGAGCAGTCCATTCACTCCAACTGTTTTGATGATTTCCGCCTCAGTAGTCCAGCCAATTTTGACCGAGATTTCAGCGACTCGAAGCCTTCCCTTGATCGATTCATCAGCTTAGCATAATAATATTCCATCTTTTTGGGCAGATTACGCTCACCTGGCGGTGAGTAATCCGATTGATACGATAGAAAAGATGTCTGATTGACTGAAGATAATAGATATGGAAATGGACGACTGCCGCCACGACTCTGACGCCGACGAAGATGCCGATGACGATGACTATGGTGACGGCTATGAGCATGCAGTTGCTGATGCTGCTGTTGATGAGGATGTGATTTCGACGCATACTGTAGAGAATAGGCATCCGAGGATCGTCGAAAGATAAGCCTACACGTTGCATAGATCTCTATCACCAGTTTACACCAGAGATGGCGTCCAAGCATATTGATCTCCGGGATATACGTGTACCAGAGAATTAGAAAAATGTTATACGATATAGTCCGTATGACTAGAGCTAATCCATCGATGAATAGTAATCCTGTCGGGATATTATCCAGGTAATAACGTAATATATTATATTCAATATTCATTGAATACACGTAATAGATTAGCGTGTAATAGACACAATACACCGTTGAAGAGATAATTAACGCCAATGTATAAATGTAGAGAATCTTCAGGTTATTATTACTGTCGCCTAGTGTATTGTTGAATACCTCTTGGAGGGTGTTATGCAATCCTTGACCTGAAGAAACATCATGTCGCATAGCTTGGACAATAAGACAATGGATTTTCAGTTTCAGCAGTAATTTCTGAGAGAGAAATATCAAGCAGACAATAGGCAGTACACCTTCACAAAACACAATTCGATGCAGTTTATACCAAAAGCGGTAGTCATCGGAGATACTCGACCATATCGGTTGAATGATACACTGACAGTGGAGAACGACATCACTCCCCGTTGTCGCTGTCCAATTATTACTATTATTAGTATCCTTTTGATTGTCACACTCCAAATGACTAATAAAATAAGTTGGTAATGTCTGGAGAATCGATAGGAGAATGCTTAGACTAAGCATCAACCAAAATATCGATCTCGACGGTGTACTATACATCAGAATGAATTCACGACTCCATCGACGTAGTCTTCGATTATACACGAGGAGTTCACGACTAATAATTAAGATTGTCGAATTAAATTGTATGTAGGTGATGAAACGGAACGCGGAACTCATCAGCTTACACATCCAATCAGATGAAATGGTCAGTGATTTCGAATTGATCAGGTAATATAACCATTGACATGCTGTAATAATGAAATAGGTGATATGACTCAATAGGATGAATATACCCCAATAGTGCAGATAATAATTTGTTGCTTTCACTTTCAATTTGAGCAGAACAATCAGTGGGATACCAGTGAGAAAGCTGAGTATCGATGTATACGGGATTATACAATTAATAATGATATAATAATAATCGGTAAAGACATGCTGTGAACAATTAGGCCGCGTTAAACGCTGATGGACACGGAATAGATCGGCAGGATATCGATCACGAAAATAAACTGGAAATGGACAATTATTTGGCATAATTAGAAAATGAATGTATATATACTACTACTACTACTAATGCGTAAGAAGTAGTAGTAGTAGTATACGAACGACTACAGAGTGGAATTCAACTGATTTTGATATAATACACTCAGTAGTATAAAGATGCGTGAGTGATCAGATGAATCGATGGACGCACGTGATATTGATTACTACATATATTTAAATTCACTGAATTTCTTTTATTGACTCTTTGATGATCATATTTAGTGTTATTACTATTATCATTATAATTATTATTATTGTTTCCTTTAATTCCTAGAGGAACATAGGACTTCAGCCCCAACGTCTCCATTGCGTTCGCTTCTCTGCTAGAGTCTTCACCTGGCTCCAAGTCTGCCTACAGGTTTTTATCTCCTGTTCACATGACCTCCTCCAAGTCACCCTTGCACTGACGACCAACTCGCCGCTTCCCTTTCGGGTTCCACTCGAGCGATGGCTTGTCTAGTGATGTCACTCACTTGATGGCTTCCTCAGAGTATGGCCAATCCATCTCCATTTCTTCCTGCATATTTGTTGCACAATCGGTTCCTGCTAGGTTGGTTCGCTCCCAGAGATCTCTGTTGCTTATCTTTTCTAGCCGGCCATGTGATCTTGAGTATTGAGCGAAAACAGCTGTTGGTGAAGGTCTGTAGTTTGTTTGAGATGCTTTTTATGACGCGCAGTGCAAGTCTCTGATCCGTATAGTAGCACTGACTCCACATTGGAGTTGAAAATCCTGATCTTATTTTTGATGCTGAGTGCTGTTGACTTCCACACAGACTTGAGAGTAGTGAAAGCTTGTCTTGCTTTTCCGATTCTTGCTTCGATATCCTCGTCAGTCCCGTCGGCCTGTAGTTGAAACGATGCTTCCCAGGTAGGTAAAAGATGTTGTTTCTTTCAGGTTCCTCCCATTTATGCTGATTGTTTCCTGTTGTTGTTGCTGTCATTTCCAACATGCTACGGTGGATTGTTATCAGCAGCTAGCTGCCTTCGCTGGCTCACTATTGAAGATCAAATGGCCAGCTGGCTGGTCAGAAAGAATCTGCAACAAGAAACTCTCCAGTGGAATAAACCAACCAAGAGCCAACCGTTCAACAATTATGTAGAAGAAAGTGGAGATGGATTGGGCACACGCTGAGGAAACTTCTGAATAACATCGAGCACAATACAGGTCATCACTCGAATGGAAGCCGAAAGTGGAAATGACCACCTGGGCGTTGGGGGAGGCGATGAAGGATTATCGGCAACCTTATGTTCTACTGGGAATCCAAGGGAACAATAATAGTAATAATACTTAATATCACCTATTAAGTAGTATAATGGAAAGAAGTAAATGTCATTGTTAAGCTTGTTAGTAAGCCTACAGAAATAATTGCGAGAATATTCTAGAATTACAAATAAATAGTAAAAACTGAAAAGAGGCGTTAAATCAATAATAATACACTTATGTAAGGGTCAAGTAGTTTAATGGAACAGAGGTCAAAAGCAAAATAGTTTTGGTCAAGAATAAAGACAAAGATAAAGACAAATTAACGGTAGGCAG